TGCCCAATCTATTTGCAGTGGGAGGGCTCTGATTGGATAGGAAAAAGGGAGGTGGAGCTAAGGGTGGCAGAATGAGAGAGAGAGAGAGAGAGAGAGAGAGAGAGAGAGAGAGAGAGAGAGAGAGAGAGAGAGAGAGAGAGAAAGAGGAGAGACACGAAGCCTCCTAGTCCTGCTCAAACTTGCCAAAGCACCTCCATAGGAATGTGGCCAACGTGTTCTAAGAGCTGCAGAAACAGCTGCAGGTTTTTATGAGGTTCAAAAACAGGTCACCTATGAACACAGATTTACCACTGATGAAGCAACATCAAGGGTCCAAAAGTCATAAAGCAAGTTGGCTGCTTCTTAAACAAGCTTGCTTAGTTACAGGGCTGAGAATCTAGCTTAGCTGCTAGAACGCTGGCCTTGCATACATGAGGGTCTGGTTCAAGCTCCTGCACCAGGGGATGGGGCAGGGCTGGGAGGGAGCAAGGGCTTCCTGACCTGGTTCTCTAGGCCTCTCTGAGAGGAGCTGCACAGCTTCTCTTGGATAAAAAATGCCAGCTTACAGGACAAGTCGGTTTCTGATTTCTCTGCTGTTAGCTGTGCACAGTTCCTAAATTGGACATTTCATTTGTACACATAATTTGTCACTTAATGTCTGTTTCTCACTTAAGGAATTTGTGGCAAATTGGTTCACATGGAAACAATAAGGAAGGGACTGTTGTTTAAAGAACATTTCAAACAATGTACAACATGGGCCAGATAGCTCGTAAAAAATTAGCACTTTTAAAAGTGTCTGGGAATGTGAGAGCCGTGCCTGGCCTCTGCCTCTGGGTCAGTTGGGACAGGCTGGGTTTAGCTATAGCAACAAGCCCATCTTCTCTGGCATTCTCTTAATTAGGGTTAGTGTTGCTGTGATGAAACACCATGGCCAAGAGCAAACTGAGGAGGAAAGGGGTGATTTGACTTGCCTTTCCCATCACTGTGCATCACTGAAGGATGTCAGGACAGGAGGATCACAAGCAGGGCAGGAACCTGGAGGCAGGAGCTGATGCAGAGGCCGTGGAGGGGTGCTGCTTACTGCCTTGCCCCTCATGACTTGCTCAGCTTGCTTTCTTGTAGAGCCCAGCACCACCAGCCCAGGGATGGCGCTATCCGCAATGGGCTGGGCCCTCCCCCATCAATCACTAATGAAGTAAGTGCCCACAGGCTTGCCTAGCCTACAGGCATTTTCTCAACTGCAGCCTCCTCCTCTGATGACTCTAACATTTGTAACACGCTGAGCCAGACTGCATAAGGAGCTCTGCCGTGGCTCAGCGCTGACCTTTCTGAGCTCATTTCAGTGCTCAAGTGTGTTACTCTTTTATGAGAAACTATTGGAGTGTTTGATTCCTGAGACGTTACAGACATAAAGTTAGCCAGCACAGGTGCCCAACAACTGGGGTCATTTCCCCTCCCCTACAGGTCAGTTGTGATGCTGCCCAAGGACTCGATGCTAGAGCAGCTTCTGCCTGGAAAAAGAGGTGTCCAGTGGAGAAGCTGGCCAGTGTGGGAATGGGGGATACGTGACATGTGTTGGACAACTGACATTCTTTTGGTCAAAGAAAGACATCCTTTCCTGAAAGGGGGGGGATACTTTTTTTCTTCAATTTTGACACAATTGTAGGTCTCAAAAGTTACCAAACCACCAGAGTGATCTTGTGTAGCCTTAACTCATTTCCTGTGAAGGGGTAAAGTACAGACACTGGCAACATGGCCGCTCCATTAGGGGAAAAAGTTTTGCAGTGGGTAGAAGAGGATATACCAAGGGCACACCTGGAGATGTCCAGAGCAGAGAGGAAAGGAAAGCAGACTAGCCACGGCCAGGGCTGGGGAAACGAGAGAACAAATGGAGTTAGTAAGAGACAGAGCATAGGCAGACAGCATGAGACAGGAAGTACCGAGCTCGGGGTGGACAAATCATGTGGATTATACAGAGGATGAGTAGCTGGGGGGAGGGACGCCTTTTGGGGACAGAAAGCTGGTTTCACAAATTCACAAGGAAAGCTGACTTTTATCCAAGCACCAGAAATCCTTCCACAGTCCAGCTAGAGCTCACTTGCATACAGAGGGAGAGCCTGAGACCTAGCATGCTACCTGAAAGTAGCCTGTTGGGTAACTGTAGTGTGATGTCACTCACTGACTTTGTCCTTGGATGACACTTGGAATCAGCCAAGTTCACGTGCACCGTGTAATGCGATCACAGGATTTGTGAAACTGCTACCACAGGACAGAGAGAACATCCCAGTACCACAGAGGAGGCCCCTCTGTGGCCATCCTCAGCCTTCTCCGCCATGCTCAAGCTGATCCCAGCATTGCTATGCTGTCCTCCATTCTCAAGTACTGTGGGAAGCATAGGAGTGCGGGCGTTTCCACCAGCATGACATCTCTTAAGAGCTCTCCGAATTCTACATATCTCTGTTTTTGTTTGGAGAGTCTCGCTATGTGACCCCGGCTGGGCTCAAAGTTACAATCCTTCTGCCTCAACCTCCCTAGTGCTGGGATTACAGGCAGCTGTCCCTTGGCTCCTGTGTAGTGTCCTGGAGCACGGAAGGATGTAAACAGCTGTAACAGCCAGGCTCCGGCACACGCAGCTCTGTTGCTTGGTTAGGAAGTTTGGCTTGGCACTGCCATCCTTTCTCGGTCTGGAGTGCGGTGCCACGTGCTCGGGTATCAGTGCTACATTCACTGAAGGGGAGATGGGGTGCAGGAGGAGGCGGACAGAGCACTGGCCGTGGGTCAACCCGCTTCACAGAGGTAGGTCAGGTCTCTGAGAAGCTGCCAGAGCCTAGTGTCCGGAGCTCCCAGACCACTGAGCAGCAAAAGCCTGCCATTCTGTTTTCACTCGTGGAACGATTAGTCAGCTTCCAACATTTTTCTTCACTCTAAGTCCACAGACTCGGGTGCTGTAAGAATCTCAACCTCATGACAGAATCAGCAATGAGAAGTTTTGTTTTATTTTCAAAAATAAGCTAGGGGAGTCCCAGCCAGGGCAGAAAGAGGGGGAGATCATGATGTTTCCACAGGATGAGAATTGGGAAATGGATGTGGAGTCCTTTATTGGAACTGTTGCTCTGTGAATTTAGGCTTTTCAGTCCAGCCCAGAGTCATAGTTCGTATAACAGCGGAACTCGTTGGCCAAGTTTCGGGAGTGTTCTGGAATAAACTTGCACATCTTTACACGTAGGAGCCGAGCTGCCTGCTCTTCCATGATGGCTCCTGCAAAGAACAGACCAGGCGAGCTAAGAGTCAGAAGCAACCCTAAACATGGCTGATCTGAGTGTGAGTGGGCCCTAGATGAAGACCCCTGGAATAACTGGGGGACAGTCCCACTGTACACAGGATACAATCTTTACACCCCCTTTACTTCCTCTAACATGTTTGCTAAGTATGTACTTTCCCCACTTCTCTCTATCGTGAGCATGCGTGTGCCGTGAGGTGCACAGATGTTCCATGTGCATGTATGTGCCCATAATGGTGGTGGCGAGACAAAAGGAATATCTAACATGTCTCCACATGTGCGCAGGTCAGACCATGTAAACACATCATGTGCACTACATCAGTCGATTCACAACGGCCATCTTGGGCACAGAGAGGACACATAACTTGGTTAAGATCATGCAGTAAATGGCAGATTCAGGATCCAGTTCCAGGATCTCTGGGAACTCTTAAACCCAGCACCTGACAGAGGCTCCTAGAGGACGTTACGGTGGCACCTACCTGTGCACAGCAGAACCTTGCCCCGAGTCAGGAACTGGATGGTTTCGGATGTCTTCCTGAGACATTCCTCAGACAGGTAAGGAGGATCTGCAACCACAATGTCAAAGCTATGTGCAGCGATTCCCTCAGGCAAGTCCAGTGGATGATTGTAATCGTAGAAGATAAATTCATCCCTATATATGGCGAATCTTCTGTCGTATTCAAAGATGTACACAGAGATGTCCTCCCTGTGAAGCTCCCGGAGCTTCTGGTACACACTGGGTGCACTCACACATGCAATTCTGAAAGAAAGTGCAGCTCGTGAGGTCAGGAAGGGTGCACATAAAAACTTCTGAGACGTCTCTGTGCTCAGGAACTGTTGGTTTGTTTTTTTCTGATTCTAGAGAAAAGGTATTTCAATTCAGTTGCACTTAAATCTTAAGCTTCCATACCCCACATTAACCATATTTTCACCAGAGTGAGCTCCAGGACAGCCAGGGCTATACAGAGGAACCCTGGCTCGAAAAACAAACAAACAAACAAACAAACAAACAAATAAAACAAAACAAAAACAAAGCCATATTTTCACATACAGGAAACTTAGATTCGGACGTATACGAGCTGTACCAGCATATAATACACCTGCATCCATGTGAAGTCTATGACATATTTTACTGTATGTATTTGTGACTTTTGCATCTGATCCTTTTCTAAAACAACTAACATGTAATATGCTTATTCCCTAAAGTGCAGATCCTACGATGGTGTAAGGTCAGTCTCTTTTGAAGACATTGTACATAAGGACCCAGTACATCTACTGGAGCCTAATCCCTGTAAGCCGTGTGGTTCCCAGGGTGTGAGGTTTTGGGACGGTGCCTGCCCTGTGTACTTTTCAGGCCGTTGCTGTCAGTTCACATGTCAGTTCACACGATTACTAGGGCATCAAGTATACTGCTCATTTTTCATATTAGATGAAATCACACCAAAGATCTCAAGTTTTCTTCCAAATGTTAGTGTTTGAAAACAGCTTTTATTACAGATGCTCAAACTTCAAGTTTTCTTGGTGAGATCAACAAACACATTGGACACAAGAATGGAAACACTAGAAACTCATGCTGTATGTAAAAGCCGCTAATAACAGGATTCAGTTTAACACTGACAGCTGCCATTTTGACCTTAGCTCCTTAAGTCTAAAAAACAAAAAAAAACCCAAAACAATAACAACAACAACAAAAAAAAACAAAAAAAAACACTGAAAATTAAGTGCAGGATTTATAATCTCATCAGCTCTAAAGATGTCTTTCTTGCTAATATAGAAACCAAAGTTCCCTTGAACAAAGTAAGCTCATGTTTTCTTAAGGGAAGTAGCAGTGTAAGTAAATGTTAGCAATGTTTAGAGAAGCGCTTACAGGCATCACTTCTAAGGAACTCGGATTTAAAATGTTCAACTCCAGCCAGGCATGGTGGCGCACACCTTTAATCACAACACTTGGGAGGCAGAGGCAGGAGAATCCCAGTGAGTTTGAGGTTAGCCTAGTCTACAAAGAAAGCTCCAAGGCTCTGTTACACAGAGAAACCCTGTCTCACAAAACCAAAACCAAACCAAACCAAACCAAACCAAAAAATTCATGTAACTGACAATTTTGAGGCTGAAAGAATATACCTATGTTTATGGAAAAAATATAAAAAGTATCGAGGACACATCATGATTAAAGTTAGGCCTGGCTAACCCAAAGCCTGAATCCACCCTATTATTTCAGAGTGAACCCTAGCCCTATCTGTTGTTTGTTTGTTTGTTTGTTTGTTTGAGATGGAATCTCATGTGTTCCAGGTTAGTCTCAAACTCACTATGTAGCTGTGGTGACACTGGACTTCTGATCCCCCTGCCTGCACGTCCGGAGTGCTGGGGTTGCAGGTATGCCACCACCCTTCCTTTCTTGGGTGTAGAGCTATAGGTGACTTCTGGGAAAGGAGTGGGTCCTGGGACTACAAGGAAGACAGGCTAGACGTTCTAGCCCTTTCTCTTTATCTCTTTGTAACTTCTAGATTTGTGTTATATGCATGCATCACCAATGTAAAGACTGAAGGGCCAGAGAGACGGCTCCACAGTAAAGCCCTGCTGGGAAAGCCTGAGGACCTTATTCTGCACCCCTGGACCCCACGTAAAGTAGAAGATGAGATGGACACCCAAGGCTGTCCCCTGGCCTCCTCGTGTGTGCCGTGGTATGCTTGTACTCTCACATAAAAACAAGCATACACACGTCATATAGAAACAGTACAGACAGACAGAAACAAGTATACACGTCATATATAAACAGTACAGACAAAAACAAGTATGTCTTGAAAGGAATTAATTTTAAATTTAAGCTTCTAAAATGAGATATGTTCCTTCCTCCTTTTTCTTTCTTTTTTTTTTAAGATTTATTTATTTACTATTTTATGTACGGAAGTACACTGTTTCTGTCTTCAGACACACCAGAAGAGGGCATCTGATCCCATTACAGATGGTTGTGAGCCACCATGTGGTTGCTGGGAATTGAACTCAGGACCTCTGGAAGAGCAGTTACTGCTCTTAACCACTGAGTCATCTCTCCAGCCCCCTCCTTTTTCTTTTCAAAGACATAAAATATTTTTACTTTATGTGTATGAGTGTTTTCTGTGTACCACATGTACACCTGGTGCCCATGGAGGCCCGAGAAAGTATTGGATCTTCTCCAAAGGGAGTTATAGATAGCTGTAAGCTGCCACGTGGGTGGTGGTTGGAACCCAGGTCCTCTGAAAGAGCAGTTAGTGCTTTTAAATTAACAACAAAGCATCTCTCCAGCCCCTCTTGATTTTTATGTATGTATGTATCTGGGTGTGTACATGGATGAGTGTACACAAATGCATACATGGTCTTCAGAGAATGTCAGATCCTTTGGAACTGGAGTTACAGGTAGTTGTGAGCTATCCTGTCAGCGCCCAGCACCTAGTGCAGGGCCTCTGCAAGAGCAACCAACACTCTTAACTCCTACCTGACTCTCCAACCTGACAAGCTTCTTACAGAGGCTGCACTGGCTTCATAAGTGAAGTACTCAGGCAGCAGACAGTAAACCCTCCCCTGAGGCTATGTGGTGTGCCTAGGGAGGACATGAGCCCCTTGTATAATGCCTTTGCACTGGGCATAAAGGCAGGAGCCTAGAGGCAGGAGAGAACACTGCTCCTCATGAAAATAAGTAGAGGTTTGCAGGCAGTAGAACCAGAAGGACTTCATGCAATTACCTCCTTGGCCAGGCCCTGTGGCTGACTTCACCCAGGTGTCTGCCTCCTCTCTGGCCTCAGTGGCAACTTTACGAGGTAGAGAATAAGCCCCAAGTGGGAGATCTGTAGCATCCTCCCTCCTCCCAGTGCTCAGGGGTCACCAGGCAGAGGGGAGGCTGGAAGACTGGAAGAGCCATGGGTGGTAGACGACTACAAGGAGAGTGTTTTCTGAACACAGGGCAGTTAGACACAAATTCACAGCTCTTGAGACAGCATGCTCAAAAACCTGTGCAGGGAGCCCAGTGTGTGTGATGGCTCATACCTCCGTGAGTCCAAAGCCAACCTGGTCTACACATCGAATTTCAGGACAGCTAGCGCTCCACAGTGAGATGCTAACTCAAAACATAAACAAAACAACAACAAAAAGACCTGTGCAGGTTCAGGCCACATGAAACTCTAGCACAGAGAGGGGAGGTGGGCACCAAGGCCCATCTCTAGCTAAGGAGCTGACAGCTGCTGGTAAAGGGAGTGTCAGTTTTCTTTAAGGCTACAGCCCTTAGTGGTTGCACACACCCCGGTGAAGGCCATATTCCATACAAACTGTACCTGATGGCTTAAAAAAAGAAAAGACGGCAAAAAGGTGGGTGGATGGGGGTGGGGATACCTGGGAGGAGTAGGGCAGTGAATATAATCAAAATGCATTGTACAAAATTCTCAAAGAACTAATAAAAATACACTAAAACAAACAAACAAATACCAAAACTAAAACCCAAGAAAATGTAGAGTATATGCGTAGCTGCACCCAGAGGCGTGACCACAGCAGGGATGCTGAGGTGCAGTGGACGGGCACACAGTGGCAGCCCCACTATGTGCTGCCTATAGAGTACGCCATGGCTCCTACAAACACTAATTCACCCTTCAGGAAGAAAGAGTGTCAGGTTTGGTGGTACACACCTAAAATCCAAGCACTTGGAGTGAGGAAGGCAAGAAGATGAAACTCTCTTTAAAAAAGAAAAAAGTTGCCAGGTGGTGGTGGCAACCTTTAATCCCAATACTTGGGAGGCAGAGGCAGGCGGATTACTGAGTTCGAGGCCAGCCTGGTCTACAGAGTGAGCTCCAGGACAGCCAGGGCTATACAGAGAAACCCTGTCTTGAAAAACCAAAATAAAATAATAATAAAAAAATAAAATAATAATAATAAAGAAAAAGTGGTGTCCAATTAATATGTAATGGTAAAGCTAATAATTAATGGGAAAATCCAATGTAGCTAAGAAAATGTTATAGCTTTAACCTCAAATGTCCTGTAGAGACAAGCCCTTGGTCTCTGGCCATTAGAAGGGGCTGAGAGGAAGCTGGGTCAGTGGGAACAGCCTTCCTCCATACCTCTGCCATAGGTGCTGCTTCCCAAGGCCGACTCACCAGGACCACGCCTCCTGAATGAGGCAATAAGTCAAGTATGTGTCGGTAGCTGGAAGCTAGCAAGCTAAGGAAAACCAAACAGCAACAGAAAATCAGGACTGCAGCCTAAGTAGACACAGGTAAAAAACTTATTCAGTCTCATCTAAATGTTTAGCTAAAAAAGTAAAATTTCATTTCGTTTTGTTGTTCGGGCATACATTTCTGAGAGCAAAGGGAACAGAGTAAGGAGCTGAAGAGCAGACAGGAGGCAAAGCACTGCACTTAGGAAGCTAAAGAGCAGACAGGTGGGTGGCCGCTGGCTCAGGTGGCCTGGCATTGGCAGTCAAGGGAGCTGGGCAGTCCCCGGCTTACGTCGAAGCATCCCTAAGGGGCTCAGGGTAACGCAGACCCAGGAAACTCAAGACCTGGGAGTGAAGGTGGGGCTAAAAACAGAAGTTGTTGAGTGATCTATTTAAGAAACAGCTTGTTCCCGGGATTTTCTTTCATACCCCCATGTCCTGAGGTAACTGGAGAGACCTGAAGGAGTGTTCTGTGGCTTGGCGGATGCTTGGGAGGGAAATGCCCAGCACAGAAGACAGAGTAGTACCCTATGGGGATTAGAAGAGGCTAGATGTAGCCAGTGGAAGAGCATGCCGCTAAGCCAGGCTCTGGGCTCCCATCCCAGCTCCAAGGCAGGGAGAAGAGAACTTAGAAGCGTCCAGAACATCAGCACCAGATGTAATGTAACCTCAGGCAGGAATTAGGGGAATCCTGCCTGGACCTCCTCCCAGAAGCTTTCTGGGAAATAGCCCATCCTGAACCCCTCACTATAGAGACCACTGGTAGACCCTGAAATTACTCCCTAGCACAGGCCAAACAGAATGAACAGATGAGGGCCACCCTTAGGTATACCAAGGGTCCCACCCACCCTAAAGTATGAAGGAAGAGGCAGGGCTCAGCAAATGTGCCAGGAGAACACCTAATGTCCAGTAGATACCCAATAATCAAATAAGCAGGAAAAATCACTTCAGCATCGACTGACATGGTGTGCAGGAAGGAGACACTGCTCAGGAGTTGAGAGCTTAGTATCCAGATGGGGTATTATTTTGAGGGAGAAGTGGATACTTTAGTAGGAGTGTATAGCTGGAAGAAGCAGGTCACTTTGGACAGTGGGGAGGATGACGGGATCATGTCCCATCCTCAAGTAACAGAAGTTCCAGGACAAGGCACACACACCATCACCAGCAGCTGCAATGGGGAAAATCAAAGAAATAATTCAAGATATCCTCAAATCAAACAAGAATGAAAGGGCTACTTTGGGAGTCCCTAGGGTCTGTGCCATAGAGGAAAGTTACACACCAAGACGCTGAAAACCAGGGATGAAGAAACTTCTACGTATGCCGTGGGTAGAGGTGAAGAAACTTCTA